CAAAGTCTTGTTTAAAAGAACAATCATCAAGTTAAAGCTACAGGCCACTGGTCTTACCTTCTTAAAAAAGTTACTGTAATGGAAATTTCAGAGAAAAGCTTAAAAAAATTAGCCTCAGAGTGAGTTGTTAATCATGAATACAGGAGGCTGTTATAGAAAGAAGAGGTTTGCTAATGTAAACAGCATGAAAGCCCAGCATGAATGCCATGTGAACAGCAGCAAACTCTCAGTAATTGAATGCAATATTCAGGATTGATGCAGTTATTTATAGATTTGAGATACATTTGAATTCAATGAGAAATGCAGATTTAGGGAGGGAGGCAGAGAATTCCTAAGTTGTCATTTATAACTGAGATTAAATGACAGAGAAATTGTATGTGCATGACAAAGCTACATGTGGGTCTAATTTGTGTCAATATGGATGCACATCAGTAATTGCATGCAGCCAGATAAACATAAGCTGTTACAACAGTGCTAAGTATTGCTGTTGTAAAAATGTATGAGGAGCTGAAAAATACATACAAATGTGATAAACAGAGTGCAAAATACACTACTTACAAGTGCATTAAATGCATATACACTAAGATATTTTTTTTCTACTAATTTTATTAATTTAGATGTTTGGCAGCAAGGTCCTGAAGTTTATTATACAGAACCATCACCCCAATTCAGTCTCATGAGATGGTAATGATCAGATCTTACCTTTTACTTTGCTTTGATGCACATCTCTTTAGGTTAATATAGAGAGCAAAGCGTTATGTAAAACTACTTAATATGCTCTGGAAAGCTTGGAAAAGATACGCTCATCTTTTAGGGACTGAAATTAGCCAGACCATATTTATCTTATTTTAACACCCCAAAGAACATCATTGCCTCATAAATATATATATTACTGCTAAGACTATATCCAAAATGAGACTACATATCTTATGATTTAGGAAGGAATCTGGGTTTTTTGGGGGGTTGATTTTATTTTATTTTATTTTATTTGGTCACTAAATATAGAATCTGCAATTGAAGCTGAGATTCTATTTCTGCAGAATATTTAAGTAACTCATTAGCACTGAAATGTCATTAAACTGCACCGAAGTCGGGACAAGAGGACCTGGGAGAAGCAGTAACTGGAGCTGATGTGAATACTCACCTGTGTACCTTCAGATTTCATAGAGTTACAGCACATCCTGACTCGGAAGGGAACCACAAGGGTCATGGAGTCCAACTCCTGGCTCCACACAACAATACCCAATATTTGCAAACTATGTCTGAGAGCTCTGTCCAAACGCTCCTTGAACATGGGCAGCTCAGGGCCATGCCTCCTGCCCTGAGGAGCCTGTTTCATGCCCGCTGTCCTCTGGTGAAGAACCTTTTCCTGATACCCAACTCGACCTTTGATTTTTTTCAGTTAAATCTATGATGATATAGAAAAGTAGTGTTTTCTTCAGTGCCTCAGCAGAGAGCTCAGTTCTAGGGCTGACGGCTAATTTTAAAAATTAGCTCTCACAATTTCTTAGTTAAATTCTACTCTTTTTGCCCTGGAGCAGAAAGCAGTATTTTATTTAGGCATGCCCTAGTTTTACACTGCGTAAGATAAATGAGAAGGAACAGGAAAAAATACAGTCTGGGACTGTAACCTTAGGACACCACGTGGGGGTACACAGCAGGCTGTTGCTAATGGAAAGTCTTTTCTGGGAAATCTTAACCTAAGTCACTTTACTTTAAAAATAAGCAAAAGTGGG